AATTGAGAAGTCTTTTTATTATTTATTTTTACAAATTTAAGATAAGTAAAGATAAGTATTTAAGATAAGTTAGACTGATAAAGTGCTTTTGCAAACCTTAACCGATTAACGGAATTAATAAGCTCTCATTTCTCTTCAAACTTTTCTTTCAATTCGTCAAGAAATATGTAAATTGGCGACTCTTACAGCAAATTTTTTTTTGTTTTAGTAACTATCAGGCTGTCATTAGTGCTTCAACTTCAGATAATGTGTTGATAAGAATAAAGGAAAAATTTCTCTCTCCACTAATGATCAAATTATATATATATATATTTTTAGTCAAAATGTAGTGCGGTAAGTTTGTTCACTTTCACGCGATGATAAAACATTCAAAAATGTTAGATTTTGCATCTAGTTTCGGGTAATTTATCTACAAATATCATTTTTTCGCTGAAATACTTAAGAAAACATTGCAGATTTCGTTCATTGAAATTAGGAATTTTCATTTTAAAGTGGAATTAATAGATTAAGAGCTGATTAGAATTGTGGATTATTTAAAACATAGTCCTTTTACTTAAACATAGTTCTTAATTTACCCGCTATTTTTTTTCCTCTTCATGAAATCTAAATTCTCTTGTTGCAATACTTTATACAATTAACAATTACATGCAGTACAAATTTTGAAATTACCATCTGTAATTTCGGGTGGTCTTGGCCGTAAGAGATTGGGTACTACTGATGTTGAGTTTTTAAAAAACTTTTAATCAAGAAATATAGTTACAATTTTGCTCATGCACATAAGATATGCAAGTAAATTTATGTAAATATAAATAAATTTAAGCAAATTATTTTGTTCCTTATCTTTTGAATTATTTAGTTTAGAGATAAAAAAGGCCAGATTTCGATTGTTTTAGTAAATATATATCTCAAAATATAAATCATGTATGTTTAAATGTTAACTTATAAGAAGAACAAGTTTCTGATATTCAAAGGAATAAAATATATACATCAGTTCACAAGTTTCCTATCTAGGTGTTGACCCAATAGATACATTGCTCTTTTTATAATTTAAGAACAATTTTTTCTTTTTAAATTTATTTTTTTAAAAGTTTCATATAAAAAAAAATTTTAACTTTAAAACTAACGATTTTATTCAAATATTTCCAATAATGATTGAAATAACTTCGCTATTCCTTTTTCTGACATTAATTCGACTTTTAACAAAAAATAAATTACTTTAAACTAAGAAAAAAAAATAAGGTTCACTGTCACTTTCTTTGTGAAATATTTCTAATTCTCTCAAAAGTCAGAATTTCTAAACTATTTCTCGCTTCCTTTTTTTTCGTTAAGAAATATCTGAAATCGGTTTTTTTTATTCACTCCCTACCCCCTGTGTCAGTTTTCTTTTTCAGCAGACGATGATGATGATGATATGCTATTACTTTTTATGGTTCATTTGGACTAAAACCCATTTCTGCTAATAACCATAATGGCTTCCTGACTGCAAAAAGAAAAGGTCTGTGTGCCCTAGAGATGAAAAAAAAGCTGAGAAATATATAAAGAAACTTTTATTTATATCTTCCTTCTCTCCTTATGGCGATTATTAAAACACGCCAATCAAGTCTTGTGATTTAATAAAGTGCCTTCCTTTTACCTTTAACGCACTAATGAAGTATAAAATGAGAGTTATGTGTCTAAATTATTTCTGCCAAACGTCGCCAAGAGATGAGGTGGAAGCGGCATTTATGTTATGCTAATGGTTTTGCATGGCGATGTTTTACAGATGTTAGAAAAGATCTTCCGGAGAAATTAATCGACATTATTGTCGAGTAATTTCGTTCGTTTAATGCTCCAGTCCTCATTAAGATATCATTTAACAAATGAATTGAAAAGTTGAAATGGTTTAATGAGGTAAGATATAATTAGGTTTAGTTGAGTAATAAGAGAAAGTGAGTGTTTTTCACTTCAGTTCTTTGAAAGCAATTATGAAAAACAAGTGAAAACACCATTTGAATATTTCATGCAAGGTTTTTTTCATAATTGCATAATTATGTCAGGTGATTAAATTTGGGCTCCGATATTATTGCTTTTAAATTATAAACTTCTTAAAGCTTATGATATGAAACAGATATTAACTTAGGATATAATTTTTTTTTTGCTATTGAAGGATTTCAATAAAGATTAATGAAATTTTACTATTGCTAGTGCAATTTTTATCTTATTCATTAAAATGATCAGAATTCTTTGATATCTTTTCTCTTATTTAAAGCCACATTTAAAACCGCGGTTAATTATTTAAAACCACAGTTTGGAAATCATTTTATAATTAACAAATTTTCTTTTGTTATTAAAAGTTGAATATTTTTATTCAATAAACATTTGAAAGTGAACAGAAATGAATACAATTTTCAGAATATCAAGCTAGAACTTAAACTTTTATTAAATAAATTATCTTCAAATATTTTTAAATACGATAATAGTATATGATCCTCTAATAAAGATATTGTATAATGATCTTTTCGTAAACTATCCCATAATAAAAGTACATTATGCTCTAATATATCTCTAATAAAGGTAAATAATCTATCAATTTTCCTCTATACAGATACATTATTTACTTTCTCTATAATTCTCTAATAAAAATGCATTATTTTATTGAAAGATACATTATCCTACAGTTATCCTCTAATGAACGCACTTTAACTTAAGAAAATGCATTAATCTTTAATATTTCTCTAGGACCCCCTGAAAAAGCTAAACTATCCTCAAATATGCTTTAAATACGATAATATGTGAGTGTGATCCTCTAATAAAGGTATTTTGTAATGATTCTCTAATAAAGGTATTAAACGGTCTCTAATAAAACCTATATTCTCTTTTAGTATATCTCCAATAAAAATGCATCCCCCAATATAAAAAGAAATATAAGATTAATGAGCAATGATACAGAGCTTAGATTTTTTTCATAAATTTTTTTGTTAGCAAAATGATTTATGACATGATTTAATCAATCAATAAATTTTACTACAATTAAATACCGAATAATATTGTAGTTAAAGTATAAAAAATATTTCAATAAAGAGTTAAAAATTTTGAATCCAAGCAACAATTACATTATTGCCGAGTTTATATTAAATATCCAAGCCTAAATCAACACGTCTTCTAAAGATAAATTCATTACATTTGACCCTAAATCTACCTCACTCGCCTGATATGGACTTTTCCCACATAAAAACCATCTTTATCTGTACATATTACGTCCCTCCATCTACTGGTAGATTTAATTTGATCCTTTGTAACAACTTATATTCATCTCATTGTTGATCTGAAAGAGCTAAATACCATTCCACCCCAAAATCGTAATCCTCCGACCTATGGTTTATTGCTTTCAAACTAGGTTCCCTTGAACCCCATGTTTACTTGGGGGATGTGACCAACGGTCATTAAAGATGACCAGTACGCAAAATGCTGGGGTTGTTTCTAGATCAGAGGGTCAAGAAGACAAAGGATTTCTTCACTATGAGGTTCACGTGATTTATAGGAGGAGGATGTTGATGCGGTAGAACTTATATTAAGACTAACTTTTTATGCATAGATGGTTGGCGATTTATGTTTGATTATTACGTAGCTGATACTACAGAACGGAATAATAGTTTGTGGTTTTTTTTCTTCTTTTCCTGCTCTAACAGATGCAGCTGCGTGAGTAATCTCTATAATGGATTTGAATATTTATGTAAGGATAAAACTTCACAATGAAAATGAAAAAGATATCTCTCTGAGAAGCTTGTTTTCGGATAATCGGACTTTGATAGAATTAATCAGACATTTCAGCGTCAATCTTAATCGTTTAAAATGTTGACTGCAAATATGTTAATCAGTAAGGGCTTATTACTAATTAAATTATGAACTCGGACACAAAAACGTACTTTGAATAAGCATACCTTTTTCTTGAAAGATTTAGATTTTTGAGTAACAAAATATAATAACCGGAATCTGGAAAACATGGTTTCAACTGTTTAGTCAGAAAAGAGGTCGGATGGTTAGGCTCTTTAATGTTATTTCAATCTTTATATGTTTCACTGTACGTCTAAAACTTTTTATGCAAATCATAAAAAATAAATCGAAAATCTGAACCATAGCATGAAATTTAAGTTCCTTAACGTTTAAGTCAGATTAAAACTTTTGCTAACTACTATTTTCACGAAAATTATAAAAAATTTAAAAAATGTTAAGAGATGTAGAGAACTTTTTGATGACAGAAACCATAAAAAAATGTTAAACCTGAAAAATGGGGACACATTTATTGCAAAATAAAAATAATAATAACTTAAAATAAGGCTTCAGTAATTTCTCAAAGGTTTCAATATCTTCCGCATATCATTAGAAGTCAAAATATAATAAAAATATCCGAAATACCTGTCAATTGTAGCTATGGTGCCAAACTCTAGTCCTAGACGAGTCGAGTTACATTGAGGCGAGTCGAGTTGAGTCAAACTCTGTAGCACTAGAATTAAACTCTGTAACACTAGAATCAAACTCTGTAATACTAAAGTTAAACTCTGTTACAATAGAGTCAAACTCTGTTACAATAGAGTCAAACTATGTTACAATAGAGTCAAATTATGTTACAATAGAGTCAAACTTTGTTACCATAGAGTCAAACTTTGTTACAATAGAGTCAAACTCTGTAACACTAGAGTCAAACTCTGTAACACTAGAGTCAAACTCTGTAACTTATTCGCTAGCTCTTAATATTTAGTCGTTAATGGCAATCTGGAAAATGAAAATTTTGCACCCTTTTCTACACAATTTAAAAACTAGTAAAATAATACAATGCATTAATTTAAAAAAGTTCTAAAACGTACAAAAAAATTTTTTTAAATTTTGAAGAAAAGGCATGTTGCATCGATTTTTCCGTTCATTCTAAAATTGACTAATATAAATTTAAAATGTTTCACTTGCTTAACAAAAAGGAATGCAGTGTTAATAATAAACACGTGACTTTATTTCTTTCAATAGGCTTTTTGCTGTGAAATGTACAGGCTGTGTACTTCCCATAGCTCCAACGGAACTGGTGATGAGGGCACTAGATCACGTGTACCATTTGCCATGTTTTGTGTGCGTTGGTTGTGGACGGCAGCTTCAAAAAGGTGATCAATTTGTTGTACGGAGTGGGAGACTGTACTGCAGGCCGGATTTTGAAAAAGAAATGGCCGTCATGCAAATTGTCACAAGGGGTAAGATTGTCTTTCTTGTCAAAATGTTTATCATAATATATTGCATGTATTAGAATGAATTAGTTCGTTATTTAGTACATTAAAAAAATGAGAAACATTAAATTTTATAAATATTGAAAATTTATGAAATTACGTCATGCATTTAAAGCCTGCTTATTAAAAGAGAAACTTGAACAATCAACGAATCTGTCGAACTTCATGCTGGAACAAGTTTCAAGAATTTAAAAAAAATATATATAGGGTGTTTTGTACTGAACACTTTTACTATATTTTAAGAAAAAAGTACATAAAAGTAATCATTTTAGGAGAGGAAAATTAATTTATCGTAATTTAAAGAAGCAGTAATGAATAATATCCTCTCGAAACTTTTTATAACAATAGAATTAAGCTTTCAAAGATTCACAATTTTAAGAATATATTTTTAAGCTATACAGCATAAAAATATTTTCAACTAAAGCCAATAATTTTTTAAAAACATATCAGGCTATTTAAAAAAATCTAAAAAAATATTCGTATTTAAATCAATGAATTTAAAACAAAAAAATTCAAATAATTTAAGTCATGATTTGAATTAAGTGATTTACCAACCTTGTTACTAATAGATATTAATTACATGATGTGTTATTAAGCATTTCTAATAAATATTAATTATCATATTACTTCAGGAGAGAATGGGCAGCTAACGCCTACTGGACCTCACAATGGCCAACCTAGGCAAGATGGACGAAGGGGACCTAAAAGGCCGAGAACTATCCTCACCACAGCCCAAAGAAGAGCCTTTAAGGCTTCCTTTGAAATCAGCCAAAAGCCTTGCAGAAAGGTAATATCACTTATGTTACCAATATAGACACACACACTGCACAAATATGTTTTTTTTGAAAGGAACATTTTTATGCGCTTTGAAATTTAAAATCTGTTGTTTCTCAACAACATTGAAGGTATTTTAACAAAATATGATATTTTCAAGAATAGGTTCATAGAAAATTTTTTAGAAACATTTTCAGAAACTATAATTGCTTCTGTAACATAGTCGAAGCACTTAGCAAGTAATAATTAAAAGTAGAATTAGTTGAAATTATTTAATTAATTAATATTTAATAATTATTTATCATTTCGGCAATGTACTTTATAATTTAATTGCTCCTCGACAACGTACTTTACACTTTCATTGCAATGATAATTATGTCTTTAACATAGTCAAAGTACTTATAATATTTAAAAGTAGAATTAATCGAAATTATTTAATTAATTAATATTTAATAAATAGGTATCTTTTCGACAATGTACTTTATATTTTCATTGCTTCTCGACAACGTACTTAATATTTTCATTGCAATGATAATTATGTTTGTAACATAGTCAAAGTACTTAGTACGTAATAATTAAAAGTAGAATTAGTTGAAATTATTTAATTAATTAATGTTTAATAAGCAGGTATCTTTTCGACAATGTACTTTATATTTTCATTGCAATGATGAAAAGAAAAATGCATAAATTTTTAATTTCATTTTTTTCCCCTCCAGGTTCGAGAATCTCTAGCAAAAGAAACAGGACTGAGTGTCCGAATCGTACAAGTTTGGTTCCAAAATCAAAGGGCAAAGGTAATGATCATATGATAGTGGATTTTAAAATTTAATTTTCGAAGAAAAAAATATAGAATTATAGCCATTTTTTAAATTAAAAAAATATCAATTTCTTTAACAGTTTTTTAGATAGCATTTTCTAAATTTTTGAAAATTAAAATATGTAAATTTTTTTTATCTTTCCAGCTAATGTTCATAAAATGAAATTAAACTTACTTTTAAAATGCGTATTTATGTTATCATTAATAATTATGATTAATAATTATTATTAATAATTATATTAATAATAATTATTAATCATGATTATTAATGATAATTATTAATCATGATTATTATTAATGATTATATAATGATTATTATTAATCATAATTATAATAATTATAATTAATAATTATGATATATATATAATTAATAATAATAATTATGATAATTATAATAATAATTATGATATATATATATATTATTATTAACTAATTTTTCTAAGGCATATTTATAATACCATTAATTATCATCAAACCAGCAAAGTATGAAACGTCAACATTATATTTAATAATAAGACTTTTTATAGAATGCCTAGTATTTTTAGGCAGTTCATTAGACTAGAGCATTGACTCTAAATTTGTTTCGGACGTGGAACCTTAAGTGATCGAGTTTCTTTTAGTGGAATCCGGCAATAAAAAAAATTTATTGTTAGTTGTAAATATACTAACTAAATAACAAAAAATACTACTAATTATTTTAATATTTAATGTGAAGAATAGAATATTTAATATTACAAATTTGTACTACGTGTATGTTTTACAAAAAAGAACTTTTAAAAGCGTTGAGAATAGTTATCAGAGAAACGTAATTCTGTTTTTTTTTTTTTGAATTGAAAAACTCGATATGCTTAAATTTTTTAAAAATGCATATCCTTCTTATAATTTATTCAATTTATTGTTATTGAAAAAGCTGCTTTTTTATTGGTATTTTACAAAAGTAACTTTATATCAATGACCTAAATATTAAATTAATCATGGATTTCGTGATAGGATATAAATATAATTCCTAAAAATTCTAAATATTCAGAACCTTTGAAATCCTTAATGGAACTCTAGGGAACACTTTTTGGGAACAGCTAGACTAATAAATTATATACTTTATCCTGGAGCTCTGTAGAATAAAAAAATTTCTTGAGGTAAAATACAAGCTACTATTTAAAAGACGTTCTATTAAAAAATATGAGAGTTTAAAACTAGAGAGACCTGCGTGTATCTAACAATGTATTGAACAATTATGCGTGTTTTTCCAACAATGTATGAAATGATAGGACTTTCTGGAATACCTTAAGTATTTTGTAAAATGACAGATGCTTTTCATACTTAGTCAGTTAGTCGTTTGGCACTCTATGTTGTTGTTTCTTATACCATATGTGTCCCCCGTCGCCCATGGTGAAGCTAAGCGAATTAAAGGCAGTGGGTGAATTTCTTGCTTTTCAGTGGTGCCATCTTTGTCAAAGAATACGACTTCAGGGATCGAACTCACTACCTCTAGGGCATGGGTCCAACACCCTATCCACCAGGCTATGCCGGCCCTGAGCATTCCATAGAATACCTAAATAAAAAATGAAATGCGTAATCGTTGTAAGCTTTGTCAGACAGTTTTCGGTATTCTATAAAATGCCGAAATATTAGATTTCAAACTCTGCTGGTGACAAATATATCACATTCTTTTATTGTATTGCATGTGCAACAACCTATTACCAAACAAATAATTTGATAACACTTCTTTTTCTTCCCCACATATTCCACGCCAGCTAAAGAAGCTGCAGCGGAAGCAACAGCAGCAACTACAGCAACAAAGCCAAAAACAAAACACAGATTCACAAAACGGGGGATCCAATCCAGATTTGTCCAGTCCTGGAAAAGATGGGAAAAAATCTGACGAACTAAGTCACGGAGACCCTAGTGAATATTGTAAGTATAATCTTACATCAATATGAAGTAAATTGTGAGAAAAAAAAAAGCAAATGTGAAAAAAAACCTTTTCCAAATTATCTATTAGTTTTTTTAAAAAAATTTTCGGACTTAGTTAATTTACATATAACACTTCATTTGTATACCTTTTCTAAACAGTTTTTTTGTAGTATACGATGTTGACATTTGTTACGATATTGTAATTAAAGAAATTAACTATTTTGGCAAAAATCAGTTGTATAGTGGTCAGGGAGCTGACCACTATAAGCTCACGGATCAACAATAGTAAGCTCACGGATCAACAATACCGGCCATTAAGTAGCATGATGGCATACAGTTGTTGAATGTGTTGGACATATTGAAGAGAAAAAATAACAACAATAAAAAGTTAATTAATATTAATACACCACAATTGGGACGATTTTTCTTTCATCACTTTTGCTATTTTAGATTAACACTAAATTAGCTTTAAAAATTAATAAAAGTGACACAAAAATTTCAGTATGTTAAGATTATTGAAGTGTTGATAGAATAAAATGCATAATTGTTAAAAAAAGTTTTTTTTTAAAAAAACTCAATGTTGTTTTAGGTTATTTAAAGATTTTACTTTTATTCGGCACACAATAACTGTGGAATTGTTTGATCATTAAAATAATTTTGTAAATATAACTTTCTGATAAAATACCATTTTCTAGAATTTATGCCTCTTCACTTATCTGCCTGATCATTAGTAAAAAATAAGCAAATATAACAATAACAAATATATATATATATATATATATATATATAAGAAGGGTGA